GAGGTACAGATTCGTCAATTGGCTCAACAGGAGTTTCCTCCTCAAGTTGAGGGCTAGAGTTTGAAGTTCCTTCACCACTTGACTCTTGAATTTCTTCAAGATCAACTTGCCTCCCACTGTCTCCTTGGCTTATAAACTCTCTTTCTCGAAAGACTCCTCTTCTTGCTACAAAGACCACATTGTCACTAGGTCTGTAGAAGAGGTAACCAAAGGATTGCTGTGGGTAGCCGATGAAAATACACCTCTCGCTTCGGGGTTCGAGCTTATCATGAGTCTCGCGTCTCACGAAAGCCTCGCAGCCCCAAATCTTGATGTGGTCTAGTTTAGGTACTTTACCAGTCCACATCTCGTGAGGAGTTTTGGCAACTTTCTTTGTAGGGACTAGATTAAGGATATGGGCGGCAGTCTCTAAGGCATACCCCCAGAATGAGATTGGTAGCGAAGCTCGACTCATCATGGAACGAACCATGTCCAACAAGGTTCGATTACGCCTCTCAGCCACACCATTCAACTGCGGTGTCCTGGGAGGTGTCAATTGTGAGACAATCCCACATTCCTTTAGATAGTCGAGGAACTCTGAACTAAGATACTCACCACCTCGATCGGATCGAAGCATCTTAATGTTCCTGCCCAATTGATTCTCGACTTCCTGTTTAAATTCCTTAAACTTCTCGAAAGTCTCTGACTTATGCTTGATTAAGTAGACATATCCATATCTACTGTAATCATCGGTAAAAGTCAAATAATAACGATTAGCATCTCTTGTGGCATGTTTGAATGGTCCACACACATCCGTGTGTATAAGGTCCAACAAACCTTCACCCCTTTCACATGAGCCTGTGAAGGGTGACTTTGTCATTTTTCCAAGTAAGCATGATTCGCAACTATCATTTGACTTTAGGTCAAACGACTCCAAGACTCCATCCTTTTGGAGTTGGCCTATGCGTTTCTTGCTTATATGTCCAAGACGACAATGCCATAATGATGCTTTATCCAAGTTATTATTATTAGTAGAATCAATACACAAAACATTATTTCCTAAGTTATCTACAATAGATACAGCTTCATACACACCATCACAAGGTAATGCTTTAAAATAAAGTACATTATTAAAGAAAGCATTAATCGAACCAACTTCATTATCAAACGAAAAGGTGAAACCTTGTTTGTACAATGCATGAAAGGAAATAATATTTCTTGCCATTTCTGGCGAATAACAACATTTATTCAAATCTAAATTTAACCCACTACTTAGCGATAAAGTATAAACTCCAATCTTGGTGACAGGTGTAACTTTCCTATTCCCCATGATTAAGTTTATTCTTCCTTGCTCCACATTCTCACTTCTTCCTAGTCCCTGCAAGTCACAACAAATATGAATACCGCAACCTGTATCAAGGACCCAAGATTTCGAATGGGGTGAGTTATTAGAAATGATAGTGTAAATACCTGCATGGTTGGGTTTGACTTTCCCATCCTTACATCTTGCTGGTACTTTGGGCAGTTCCGCTTCCAATGAGCTTTTTCATGGCAATAGAAGCATTCAGCCTCTTTTGGGTCAGAAGAAGGAGTAATGAAACCTTTCTTGGTTCCACTTGAAGAAGAGCCATCAAGGGTCCGAGCCTTGGTACCCTTTGAAGATCTCTTTCTCTTCCTCCCTCGACTTGCCCGATTGCCAAGACCGGAGTTGTCTGGAGTAGGAGTGATAGCAACCGACTTCCCCTTAAGACCTGTTTCTGCGGTCTTGAGAAGTCCCTGAAGTTTGCTGAGGGTGACCTCTTCCTTGTTCATGTGATATGTCATGCGGAATTGATCATAGCACGATGGTAAGGAGTGCAAAATGATATCTATTGCAAGCTCCTCAGGGAAGTTCACATTGAGCTTCAGCAACCGATCCACATACCTTTGCATTTTCTGCATGTGGCTCGTGACGGACTCTCCGTCCTTCATCATGGTTGTTATCATGGAGCAGATGACTTCGTACCTCTCTTGTCGTGCACTTTGATGGTATCTTTCCATCAAATCTTGGTGCATTTCATAAGGGTAGAAGTCTTCATAAGACTTTTGGAGTTCAGCTGTCATGGTGGCTAACATGATGCAAGCCACCTTGGTTGCATCTCTTTCATGAGTATGAAAGTCAGCGATCTCCTGGGGAGTTGCAGTGGACTCGTCAATTTCCTTAAGCTCCTTGTCAAGGACATATTCTTTGTCCTCGTAGCGGGTAATCATCCTGATGTTTCTGATCCACTTATTGAAGTTGGATCCATCAAAGGTGACTTTCCCACAAGACTCATAAGAGTAAAGGAGCCATTAGGATTCGAGCCAGAAGCATTAGTTTGAAGACATCTGAAAAGAAGAACAAGTTTAGTTTAGATTTAAGAGAGTCCTTAATAAAACACCCAAATGTAATATTAAGGCTAGGATCCAATCACAATATAATATAACTTAGAAGAGGTATGCCGTAATCTAAGCTATACCATATTTGAAAGGTAGGTGAATGACGATTCACCAATTTCCACCACGAAAACCGAAATATTAAATATTTAGTTTTTATTGGTTTTAGAAATTCCTAGATTCTTTGAGATCCAATGAACTTTTCAAAGGCATGTTTCAATCTCGGGAGTGCCCTCCAGGTTTTGTGACTGGGATGCCGAGGATCACAAAACGAGGTGTGAAGTAACCATGCAAATCACTTGGTACCCTTAAAGTTTATCACTCAATCGATGTGCCGGTAAACCACACACGCTCCACCGATACTATAATAAACCTTAAGTCACCCTTTACCTACCTTGTTAAGTCCAAGTTAGTGTGCCGGTTAACCACACACGCTCCACCAACGACTCAGACAAAGTGTAAAGTGTAATTTCATGGATTAGCACCTTATTCACATTTTTCCTAAAGTAACTAAGATTGGGAATTTAATAAACATTTAGTTACTTTATATATATTCATCATACTTTGAATGAGAATTTATAAGTCCTTGTCTTACCCGTTCGGCTAACGACCCTCCACCAGTCAAGCAAGCGGTGGGTGAGAATATACACCCATTAAGTCACCATTTTATAGGCAACAACCTTATACCCACCTTATAGACCGGCTTCGTGAATGAGGCGTACTAGCGGTAAGACGACTTATTCTTATACATATATATATAATTATTAAATCATCATAATATAAGTATAAGGGTTGAATTTTAACTTTTAAAATTCTAGGGGTTGGAACTAAAGTTTTAACTTAACTTTACTTGTTCCAAAACTTGAGGGCAAGTTTTGTAACTTTCAAAACTTTTCATTTCTTGTAACTTATGAGTTTAATAGAGTC